CTTGGATGTACGGAATGGTGCCATGGATAAAGACGTGGAATTATTAATCAGAGAAACGAGTTCCAATTCCTCTTGTACTCGTTTGATTTACTCATGCGCAAATAACTTTTGGAAAGGCATTTTCCCCCAGCTATGGGTTAATTACTAAGACTTGTATCACTAAATCATTACTAGCACCAAAAAAAATTCTAACGATGTAAAAGTATTTTCTGGCTTTAAATAACGTACAAAGGGCTGATAAGCCGTAAAATTTGAATCAATCAAAACAAATGTTCAATACAACGAGTCTTTGGGAATTTAACTTTATCTATATTGACGATTCTATCGTGGCTATCTATTTAGGGTTGAGACAAATAATAACGCTCCAACCACTCGACCATGACTCATTTCGCTGCTTTTTCAATCAGGGAAATCTTTTTGTCCAGTTTTCTTTTCTCTTTTTTAGACAAAATGAGAATCGTCAGTTTTATCAAATAATTTGCTTTCTCGTTTCTTGTTTTTAAAACTTATCCAAATTTTCTATTACAAACATTTCCCTTAATGCCATGTGAAGCCACACAAACACTCAAACACACACACACATACACACGCACGCATATATATATATATATATATATATATATATATATATATATATATATATATATATGAAAAGTCCGACAATTATTTTAAGATATTTTTTTATGTTTATATCATAAACAGAGCATTTACTTAAATATTTGTATCTATAAAAAGAATGTATAAACATAAAAAATTGTCGGACTTTGTCCATTTCATAATATGTGACATCATTTGTTTACATTTGGATACGCCATGAGCAGATATGAATGTACGTGAGAGATTCATGGAAGATTGCAGTTTAAAGGCAGTAAAATTGACTTTACTAACCGAACGCTCCTCTGTGGCCCAATCGGTTAAAGGCACGTCAGGCTATATGACGGTTCCGTATTGGATACAGGTTCGATTCCTGTCGGAAACGAATATTTTCTATGAAAATTTCTCAGACATTCAGGCCGGTGAATGTTATTAATACTGTTTATTATAAACAGAGCATTTAATTACAGATTTATATCAATAAAAAGAAGGTATAAACATAAAAATGTCTTAAAATATATACGAATAAAAAGTGACAAGAGGAAAATCTATACTTAGCCATTTGGTCTGATTCCTCTTGTATTCTTATTGATATGGGTTCCCTTATAGATACACTGTATCTAAAATAAGAAGAAGCGGCGCAATTTATACGTATATGTGTGGAAGATGACGATTAACCCTAGACTTTAAGATTAAGATTTAAGTGATCTGGGAAGCATCCTCTTGGGAGTCGGTTCCACAAGGCAGTGATTGATGGGAAGAAACTGCTTGAGCGTAGCTTACATTTCACCAAATGTATACGAAGGGAATGGAGGTGGTTCACTACAATGAGCGGGGTATGGATGGTCTTGGTACGGTGACAGCATGAATTTAAGCGTAGTGCTAGATTGGCAATTAGGTCTCATCGTTTTACTGTTGAAATAGCTAGATCTAACCGTAAATTCTATTCTAATCGTTTCTTCTTTCTCGCACTTCTCACCTATGGAACTCTCTCTCTCTCTCACTCACTCATTCTCTCTCTCTCTCTCTCTCTCTCACTCATTCTCTCTCTCTCGCCCCCCCCACACACACACAACGTATTGTTTCCATGACACTCGCCGTACATGTCACGGCATGAGGGACAAAAGAAAGCAGTTACTAACCTACATAAAGAGATTGTGTAAATGGGGAGCAGAACAGGGATTGGGGGGTAGCTAAATGACAAACCTGCCTACGAAGGATAAGAAGTTGTGGATAGCAATAATTACACATGTCCTGGCACAGAGAAAAAGTGAATGCATCACTATTCCTCGATGAAAAATTTCAGAAAAAATTAAATCGTTAAAAAATTTTAGGCTTAAAAAGAATTTGTAAATGAAAAATCAAAGTCAATTTTTTAATCAACTGGTGTTAATTAATTTATTTAAACTGCACCAAATGTATAATAAAAATTACGTCAGATGTTTTTACAAATTATTATTATTATTATTATTATTATTATTTCCTTGGATTTCTGTAGTATATACATTTCCTTCCGGATCCCAACCAGAGACCTAAGATCAGAAATGGCTTTATCACATTTTCCACTGATCATTTTTATATTATTATTTTCACTATTATTATAATTTGTATATATTGTTTCCTGCTTTGTATCCCGTAGAGCCGGGTTCAAACAATAGTCCTTAGGCCCTTTAGGAGAATTGTCATTTAATTGATTGCACTTTTCTTAATATATGGGATGTTCTTAGTAGGGTTAACTTGCATGTTGATTTTACCTGAGACACTGTTATTAAAATTGTTTATTGTAGTTGGACAATCTACTATCTATATTTCTCATGTTGTCTGTTTGTGTGTCTGTCGTGGGCGTTGTTACCTCGCCCAGGCCGCATTTCTCACCCGATTTCGATGCGGTTTTCACCACAAGTTTGCAAATGGATGCCTTAAGGACATGACGCAGCCTGATTTTTCAGTTTGGACTCAGGTTCCGAAAAAATCAATAATCGAAAAAATTCTGCTTACAGAAGAAATGATCGCATTTCAACCAAATTTGACACCCTCTTAGAGTCTACCATTTGAAGTGTTCTCCAGAAGTTTTATGACCACGGATTCCTAAACAGCGCGGAAAATCGATAAAACCCAAAAACCGATACGCCCAGATTGCGTCTGAACCGCATGTCGGTTTTTAGCGAAAACCGAGCGGATTTATGAAGAGGCCATTGGGAGTCATCATGTGAAGTTTCAACTCTGAGCTCCCCACCCCAAGAGAGTCCAAATCGACAATTGGTCAACCCTTAAAAATGTTTTTTTTCCGGTTTTTTAAAGCTGATCGTATTGTGTTTATTTTGTTTAGTTCTTTTTTCGTAACAGATTTAATGTTTACTCTAGAGCTTAGAAAAAGTTGGCAGTGTGAGATAGGCAAGAAGTAAGGCATGTAACGACATCAGCACGGCAGGGGGCACTCCTCTAAAGGCAAGGAAGGGCAAAAATATTTTAAGTCAAGTGATAGCAATTGCTGTATTAGTCGTACTATTTTTGAATCAAGCACGGGCAACGCCGGGTCATGCTGCTAGTTTACGATAATTTTCATGGAGGTGCTTCTCTCAGATGGTACTGCTATGTCAATAAGGATACACTTCATGAATTTTTTGTCTCTTATGATAATATCAGGTCAGTTGGCATTTATTTCCCTGTCAGTTTGAATTGTCATGTCCCAAAGGATAGCTACATCATTAATTTGGGTAACTGTGTCTGGTTGGTGGTCATACCATCTTTCAGTGCTTTCGATTTTATGCTTCTTGCATATTTTCCATTGCATATATGTCGCTACCTTGTTATGTCTGTGGATATATTCATATTTTGCTAATTGCAAACATCCTGAGACAATAGTCAAAAGTTTCATCATATTTTACGCAGATCCTGTATTTCGGGTTAGTTCCATTCTTGATTATGCAACAGCGATATGATCTGGTTGCAAGGTTTTGATCATGAGCTTCAATAATTAGGACTTCTGTCTCAGCTTTTAACCTAGAGCTCCTCAGCCAATGATGTGTTTTCTGTTGGTCCACATCTGCTTCTTTCGTTCTTTTTAGGTATTTGCCATGCAACGCTTTGTCCTTCCATATTTTCTTTTGTAATTTTATTTGGTTAAGGTGTTTTGCTTTCTGTTTTACTCGTTTGGCGTAGATGATATTCGCTTCGCGTTTTATTGGTAGGACTTCAGATATATTAAGCTGTTTCTTGAGCTGTACAACTTCTTTGATGGAGTGATTTGGTGTTTTACTATTTGTAGGAGAGGGCCTTAGTTTTTTGTGAGGTATTATTATTATTAATAATAATAATAATTCTGTTTGAATAGACATTTTTTACAAATTAACATCTGCCGTTCAAATCATCGAAAGTTTAATTAAAATCCAGGAGATGACAATTCCATTGTTAAAAAAACGAGGATGTCTATTAAAAATGTGTTACCCACAGAAAATAATGTTTATATTAATAAGAAATAGTTTGTTTTTTTTTGGGGGGGGGTATTTTTATCATTTCACCCCCGAGCTAGGCGGGCTGCAGAGAGTGAAAGTGAAAGAGTGAGTTTAGGGAGGATTGATGAAAGAATAAAACGTGTACGAGGCCCCATGACGACAGAAGATGACAACTGACATTGCGTTTAAATTTTTGAAGATTTTAGTTTTCAGGGAAGCAAGTAAAGGGAAGATATTTCCACTGGCGCAAGGTGCGAGAAAATAAACTGTTAGAGTAGACGTGGTGGTTATATTTATCTATTTCAACAGTAAAAGGGTGGGACCTAGATGCCAACCTAGTAGCACGCTTAAATTCATGTTGTCGGTGCACCAGAGGAAAAAGCTCGTCAGAGCAGTTGTCATGAAAATATTTGTAGAAAAGACATAGGGAAGCCACATCACGGTTTTGAGAAAGTTGACTGAAGCCGAGATGTCAAGTCAGGATAGATTACATTGCAGATCCTTCTCTGGATTTTGTCAAGAATCTCGATATGAATAGCAAGAGCACCAGACCAGATATGGCAGCAGTATTCAATGCACGGATGAATGGTAGATTTGTAAATGTGAAAGATGGACTCTGACGAGAAAAAAACTTCTGGCACGAAAACAATGAAACAACTTTCCTTGTAGTAGATGCAGCTATTAATTCAATGTAATTGTTTCACTTCAAGTCAGTTGAAAACGTGAGACCAAGAAAGCACAGTGTGACGCCCTCCAGGAGTCGATCATCAGACATGCTGATGGCGGGCAGGGAAGTTTTTCTGTGGTGGTTAAATTATTTGATTAAAACAAAGCAATCGTCCTGTAATACTGTAGCCCTTAAGCTTACGTAGAAAACCAGAATGCCAAACCCATATATATATATATATATATATATATATATATATATATGGATCTAACCAACGCCTTTAT